ATTCATTCAAACATTTGAAAATGCTTTCTGCTGCTGCGGACAAGAAAGCCAAACAACTCACGTTCACCGAGGCATCAACCTCCGAAACCCTTTCGAGGGCTACAAGAAACGAAGTGAGTAGCCTACAAGATTGAAGCTGGTCAGATAACGAACGAGTAAATGACAACAGAATGAGGCGGAGAAGTTTGGGTGTTTGCGTGTGTGTGTGTGTGTGTGTGTGAGAGTGAGAGAGAGAGAGAGTGATTAAAATAGCCCAATTGCTTTTACAATAAATAAACATTGAATGTGTTTAATTGAATAGGAAAGGGGTTTAACGCTAGTGGCAGGTTGTGTGTGAGAGAATAAATAAGACAGCCCAATATTTTAGAAAAAATCTATTCTTTTTCGCAACTTCCCGCAATTTCACCGCATAAAATCACATAAAAACCCTGCATGTTTAGCCCGCATAATCAAGGATTTTAGCCCGCATAATCAAGGATTTTAGCCCGCATAATCAAGGATGTTTGCCCGCGTTTTTCTGGAGGGTCTAATTAAAGAAGTGGATACAGTGCTGTGACTAAATTAGAGGGTGAGAGGTTTACTTACATTTATAGACTCAATCTGGCCAAACTCTTCAAATAAGTTGGTGAGGTCTTGCTGAGTCGCCTTTTTGTCCACCTGTCCCACCCACAGAGTCGTGCTGCACACTTTGTACGGGCAGAGGGGAAAATAATAATTATTCACCAGAAAAGCACTGACAGCAAACACCCATTTTCTGATGCAATGACCTTCCACTGACCACTGAGAGTTTTCGACCGGATGGGAGGCAGTCCTTTCTTCTGCCGCTCCTTCTCTCGCTCGCGGGCGTGTCTCTCACTCGAGTAAGACCGGGAGGACTTCCTCTTGCGGTCTCTGGAGCGTGAGCGGGATCGCTTGCGGTGTTTGCGCTTCCTTGAGCCGGAGCGAGACCTGGACCTCCTCCTCTTGGGAGACCTACGGAGAGAAAACATGGAAACCTTTGGGAATTTTTTCCAGATGGACTTTTGTGTTTGCAGTCACACTGCAGCTACCTTTGACTATCGACACCGGTTTTCACAATTCAGTTTTGCATTGAATGTTTCTCCACTTATAAATGCATTTATTTGTGCCTAGCCAGTGTTTGAAGTTAAAGGATTATAGCAACTGCATTTTACAAGCTTGTATAGGCACATAATCGCTGCCCTCATTGACTATTTGAAAAAATCCAATGAATCACAGTAATCCAGTTTACAACATACGTTGACTGAACTACTAGGCAGAATCCAGATTTAGTTCCCAATCTCAATAAATGTAATGAATAAAAACACTCTCTGGTTAGTCTTTAATTAATGATATATATTTTTTCCTGGGCCAATCGAAGAACATGGGTTATGTCATTCTTCTTAAGTAGGAAATGTAAAGCTATAGTGCATAGTAAGGAGTGGAATTATCAGTATGCTTTTCTTCTCCTATTATTCTGTAAACATAAACAGGACCAGTTCCATCCAGCAATCTTGTACCAATTTTACATCTGACCTTCAAGGTCAGCACTTTTCAAACAAGGTTAAAAAAAAAATCAATGCTTCCCACAAAAACAGACAATTCAGCAATATTTCATGTACATTTAGTAAATGTTTTTACAAAATGAGATTTCAGTTATAAATGGGACTGACCTAGATCGTGACCTTGAGCGTGTTCTGGAGCGCGTGCTTACGATCTTCTTCTCCTCTGCCTCAAACGTATCCTCCTCCATACCATCTGGGCCCTCGTCCAGATCCATGTCCTGAAAAAGACGGGGTTATTTTTACCTTCTACAGAGATACAAGGTGAAGTAAGAAACTGTTGTAACAATCAAATCTAGGCTCACAGCTTATTAAACGTACCGTAATCTTCGGACTATAAGCCGCGCCTTTTTCGACGCTGCGGCTTATATAACGGTGCGGCTAATCTGTGGATTTTTACAGCTAACGGCCACTAGGGGACCTCCTAAATCTATGGATTTTACAGGTTACAGTCCACCACCTTTAACTCTATGGGCTCTATGGCCGGTCCGCGCCCCCCATTTTTAAGCGGCGGGCTCCAGCAGGAAAAGCTGGAGGCCGGAAAAGAGTGAGACAGGTAGCGTGCAAAAGTAAAAGTGGAACCGAGAGTGGTACGAGAGACAGAACGAGAGCAAGACAGACAGACATTACGAGAGCGAGACAGTTTGTCCCCGTACCACTGGTTGAAAACCACTGCTGTAGATCACTGCCGGTACGTGCGCTGGGAGCGCACCGTTTAAGTTTGAAATTGAAAAGTTTGTGTGTCTGAAACGCTATGTGATACAGTACAGTTTACACAGCACAGTACATGTTCTGTAGCTACTATTGCACTAAATGGTAACACTTGAATACGTTATGCAAATATGCAACTTGTTTGTTGAAATGTTAATAAATGGGAGCTTCCTCAAACAGCCATCTCTTTCCCGACAATCCCCTCTGTGCACGAACTCTTACATATGGTAATTAAACATTAAAACACCTGCGGCTTATAGTCCAGTGCGGCTTATATATGTACACATCATTCAATTTAGCTGCTGCGGCTTATATTCAGGTGCGCCTTGTAGTCCGAAAATTACGGTACTTAATAA